CAGTGTCAGCTCCAGCCGCAGAACCTCAGACCTCAGCCAAAGAGGCCTGGGCCGATGCCACGGACGATGCCGAGGAGGTCCCCAAATCAGCGGCGCCGGACCTTAGTTCTAGCTCTCATGAGCACAGGTAGTAGCCTACATCAGGTTTCACTTCTTCTCACAAAGCCTAGCCGAAGGGGGTTTCTTTGCAGGCCTCGGCTAGCCGTTGACCGGGCCTAGCCTCGACTCTGCCTTTACAGATGCAACACGGAAAACGAGTGCTANNAGAGCAGTGCAAGCCTATCTGAACTCCGGGGTTGGCAGCGGGTTGCCGTCCGAGCAAGCGATGAGCGCATGTGCGATGTGCATCTTGAAAAAAAATGTGCACCTACGTGGTTTCCCTGCCCAGTCGTACGGTTCCGGCCCTGGACTTGCTGGCGTCGTCGCTTAAGGAGCGCGCGAACGTTGACCTTCACATGGGCAAGACGCGTGCTTGGAACGCGGCTGGTGAGGAGCCTCCCCGGCCTCAGGGCCCGTGTGGCAGCTCCGTCCGACCCGCCGGTGTGGGTTGGAGATTGGGCGCTGCCTGCTGGGAGTCAGGGGTTGGTCGTGTTAGGCACGCCGGTAGGCAGCGATGCCTTCATCCAGGCGGCCTTACAGTCAAAGCTGGCGGACCACGCGTCCTTGCTTTCCAGCATCCCTGCTGTCCCGGACTTGCAGGCCGCCTGGCTGCTCCTCCTTTTGTGCGCCGCGCCTCGCAGCAACTATAGATACCTGTTGCGAGTCCTGCCGCCAGGCGCCACCGGCGAGTTCGCACGCGCCCACGATGCTGCTGTACTCGCATGCTTGAGCCGTTTGCTTGGCAATGATGAACCAGTGGCTCTTGGCCCCTTGGCCATTCGCCGGGCGCAGCTTCCTTCACGGCTCGGCGGGGGCATACTGGGCGTCTTGGGCCGACACCCTCCCTGTCCTGCGCTCCAGGCACCCTCGCTCAGTGGCGGTCACCTTGCAGCAAGCCGTCGCAATCGCTGAAGGGGGTGAGGTGTCTGCCCCAAGTGTGGCAGCCTTGGTGCATGCTGCCGAGTCGCTGCGAGCGCAGGGCTTCCAAGTTCCCCCGTGGGACGCGCTGCTAGGCGGCACCACGTTCAGCGGGTGACACGTTGCGGGGATGGCAACGCGCCGCCGTGGCTGGCCAGGACAAGACAGCATGCGAGAGCCTTTTATCCGACCTCGACCCGGCATCTCGTGCGCTGCTTCTGTCCCAGGCCGGCCCGGTCGGGCCGCGGGCTATCACCGCTCTCCCTACTGCACCCGAGTTTCGCTTGCCCAGTGAGTGCATGCGTGTGTTGCCGCTACGCCGCGTCAGGGCGGCTCTGCCACACGCTCCGCGCCGTTGTCGATGCGGAGGTAACCTGGACGCCCTAGGTGACCGCCGTTCGGCCTGTCACGGCCGGCGTGCTGGGGCCCCGTGGCGCCCCCCTCGAGCGGGCGGCCGCGCGAGTCTGCCACGAGGCCGGGGCCAGGGTCGCCAACAACGTCATGCTGCGGGACATGCACATTGATGTGCCGCTGGCGGACGCCCGCCGCATCGAAGTGCTGGCGAACGGCTTTCCCTTGTACCAGGGCGCGCAAGTCGCCGTCGACCGGTGTCGCGAAACGGCGCTCCGCGCCCGGGGACGGACCGAGTGCCTGGCCTGACAGCAGCTCATGCGGCGCGGCGGAAGCGGCGAGAGACATATCCTGAGCTCTTGGCCGCCCGCCGCTGCAGACTGGTCGTCTTCGGACTTGAGGTCGGCGGGCGAATGGAGGCGGAAACCGTCGCATTTCTGCGCAGCCTTGCCGCGACGCGGAGGTCGTCGCGGTCAGCCGCCTGCCGGCCCCCCGCCACTGAACGTCCGCGGGTGTAGGTAGCCGCCGAGACCAGTCCTGCGGGAAAAAGGTGCGTTGGAAAAAAAAGAATGCGCATCTTGCTAAGATTTCCCCTTCATCCCGCGCACTGCTGCTGTCGCAAGCTGGACCCTTTGCTGCTCGTGCAATCACACGGTATTCCCGACGCGGTACGACCTCGCCATCCCGAGCGCCCTTTTCCGGGTGTTGCTCCTTCGCCGCGTGCGCCTGCCCCTGCCGCTGGCGCCGCGTCACTGCCGCTGCCGCGGGCTGCTGGACCCGCTCGGCGACCATCGGTCTGCGTGCGCCACCTTTGGCGTGCTGGCAACACGAGCCCTCCCACTCGAGCATGCAGTCGCCCCGAGTGTGCCGCGACGTTGGCGCGCGGGTCCCACGGAACGTGCACCTGGCCGCCCTTTGGCGACGAGCTGCGCATCGAGGTCGTCGCCAACGGCCTCCCTTCGTGGCATGGCTCCCAGCTCGCGCTCGATGCCACCATGGTCTCGCCAGTTACGCGTCGGGGCGAGGCCTATAGCCACGGGCTGATGTCCATTCGGTTGAGGCTGCTGCCAGGCGCAAGCGCCGCGACACGTACCCGGAGCTCGACGCGGCACGCCGCTGCCGTTTTGTGGTAATCGGCGTCGCGGTAGGTGGGAGGTTCGGTCGCGAGGCTGCCCAATTGCTCCGGTTGTTGGCGCGCTAGCGCTGAGGCCGTCCCCGCTCACCTCGCCCGTCAGCCATTAACGCATGGGTTGCGCGATGGTCAGGCCTGTTTTGGCAACGAGCGTACGCCGCTTCGTTGCTTGAGCCCCCCTCCGCTGCCGAGCTTGGTGAGGGCAGTGAGCCAGACCTACATGAGGTCCTGG